ACCCAGTGTACCAATCAGTCAGAATTAGTAGTATTATTTCAAATGGAATCCAAATGTCTTCATGGAACGTCCCTCATGACAATGTCATTGTCCGCGTCAGTACAGTGGCAGGGCTCCCAGTCCATTTCTTCAGGCTCCTCAGCGTCGATGTAGGAAGGGTCTGCCGAGACATCGAGCATTTCAATGTCAGTGGAAACCATGGTGTCGGTATCTGCTTCCCCCATGATGACGTCTTGTATCCCAGCCTCGGACCGCCAGTTCATGCCGCCATCAGGGCTTGGAATGGGGTCGTGTGCCGTGCAAAGAAGAGACATGTACGTCTCGTCCTCGTCAACCCAGCTGAAAGTCTCGTCATCCCAGATGTAATCCTCGCCACCCGAGAGAGAATCCAACTCCGATGCACATTTCTCAACCTGTTCGAGGTCAGTTTGACATGTTTGCGAAGGATCGGCCCTTTGCTCTGTCACGGCGTCGGGGTCGGGCCTGCCCCAAGTATAACTGGAAGTCTCAAACCACATCAATTAAATCTTGAATACCAGAACTGTGTGAGTGTGAAAGTAGTTTGCGATTGTTGGAAATTTGGATTCCGCGATACAATCATCGGTGTACAACAGAATTTTATACACCTCGTAGCTTTTTTCTTTTGGATTCACATTATACGTTTCTGTGGTGAAATCTCGACGCTCTCGACTGTAGCCACGCCTCATTCGAAGCCCAAATCGAAGCCACAAAACCTACTTCATACACTGGCCACGAAATCATGCTAGGTTGGATACTTTGATGGCGAAAAAGGGCTTGCTCGATTAAGCTGTTGCAAAAAAAGCCATCAAACGTTGTTAGTCTTGGACGGGTATAAATGAGACGTTCCCCCCAGATATCTACGTGCCCGACAACATACGACAACCATTTCCCATTTCCCATTGAGCTGAAAGCTTTTGGCTATTACAGACAAGGATACAATTACTTCTGCTTTGCCTCTTGGCTCGATCAACAACCTACATCTCCGCGTTACTCAAGTCCAGCTTTGGTAGCACCGACATCCTCACCACTCTTTGCTCCGATCTTGGTAGATCATCATGTCTGCCAGTGTTATCGAGGGGGCGCCGAGGGCGGCCATAATAGCTGCTCTGGAACAGCAGAGAAATCATGGTACCATGATACCCGACCGGACCGGTTTCACGGCTGCCTACGATACAATTATGAATGCAGTTCCAGAGGCCCAAAAGCAGGAAGCTGCTAGAGCGATACTGCAAACTATATGGACGCACAAAAACAACAATAACCAAGGCCTTGCCACATTCAAGGCCTGGCTCGAGCACAACGGTCTCTTAATGTTGTTTTTCTACAACGAGCTGAGCCAGGAGGATCGCTATGGACCAATCGTTCGAGACCTCCAGGCCAAACAGGCCGAGAGGCACGATGCATTGCTGGAGTTCGAGGAGTACACCGACCGCGAGCTACAGATTTATGGTCAAACGACACCCGACGCTGAAACATTCTCCGAAAATCACTCTAAGAGCGTGGACCGTATCATGGAAGCCTGTCTCAGCGCCCGATTGAACTTAGATGCGGCTCGGCAATTTAATGAAAGACGCGAGTACCTGAGCCTTGGTGGAGATATAGGTACTGACGAACCGTGGTTTCTTGTCGACATCCCTCACACGACGCCCTTGAGGCCTTCAATGCAGGTCCAGGTCCAGAATAAACTTCGAGGCAGGTCCTACTATTGCGGTCGCCACGCCGGTACATACATCTTTCGCTTGAATCAATCCAACACTGTGGGTGATGGTAAGCAGGGCGACTTTGAATTTTGCGGCGTTGTTCCACGCAATCGAGCGCATCATATTGCGCGACTCAAAGAACTCCGCGGCCGTGTGCTTCAAATGCTCGTTGCCACATGTTCATATATCGCTGGTTATGCCGCGGTCAGCTGTGAGAAGGAGATGAAGGCGCGCATGGACCAAGTGACTGATCAAGATCTCGAGTCCATATTTCGGTACGCGAGAATCTACCTTGAACAAGGATGGATGTTCTTCAAAGAAATTCAGGAGGCATTCCGCGAGAGTCCAGTCCTCTGGGAATTTGTCAATTTGATGGTCATGCACCGTGTGAAGGCAGAGGAGATCAAAGAAGGGCAGCGGCTGGTGGATTTAATCTGCCTGGTCGCAAAATGTACCGAGGGTGCGATGATAAAGCGGGAAAAACGACATTTGTCGGAAACTGCCTGGCATTATCTGCAATTCAGTGTCGAATTGAGCAATTGCCTTGTGTTCCACGACAATGAAGTCGAGCTCTTGACGGGTTCCCCGGTGGTAAGTGACATGATGAAAGTTGTCCCCATGCTGTGGTTTGGCGGGGCGGCCGCACCTTTTTCCGGCGATGCGAATCCCTGAAGCCAGAACCTGAAGCTAACATTTTTACAGGACATCCACGACTATTTTGCTGGCGAGGAATTCGCCACTGACCCGAATCATCCTAAGGCGCAGTATCGGATAACGGATGAGGATTGGGAGAAGCTCCGTGGCGACTATCTACTTACGCGATCGGTCAAACGTCGTTGGACACGGGATCATCTCAACGCATCTATCTTGGCCGACCTACGCATGCCCAAAGCAGACACCTCCTTATTAGAGCGCCTCTTCCTGAACACAGACGGATCCCAGCCTTTGTCGTCACCATCAAGCACTGAGCCGGCCGAGGAGCAGCCATCGCCCGTCAAGCGCGGACGCGGAAGACCTAAGGGTTCTAAGAATAAGCCAAAGCCTCCTGGGTGGGTTCCTAAGCCGAGAAAAGCCTCTGCTGTCAAGAGAAAGCGACATAACCAGTCGCCCTCGACAGCTCGCCATGAATCCGCCATGGTCCATCACGCGGCTCTTCAGCCGTCTCTCGATGCTGCCGGCCATAACCTCCACCATCAAACCGACCCCTCTGCCGTCGACAACGCTCCTCCTCCGCCCATTCAGCACGACACCGATCTCGCTCGCACGGAAATCGGTGCCGCCTGCTGGTGGCAAATCTAAAACGTCTTCCTCGACGCCGAAGCGCAAGGCCAAGGGAAAGCAGACCGGCCTGACGGAGAGCGGGCGCAAGGTGCGCACGCTCAAGCAAAACATGTTTTCGCCGGCACCGCCGCCGCTGCGCATGGGTCGCCAGCGGCACCTCCGCCACTGGACGATTCACCGCGCGTGGCAGCTTTTTCGCCGGCAGCAGCACGAGGCGCAGCACAAGGAGCGCAGCCGCATGCAGGCGGGCATGTGGAACGCTTGCGAGGCGCTGCGGACGGTGCATGGGCCGGGCGATCGTGGTGAGGGATATTTGTATCGTGTGGCAATGGACAAGGAGGGTCTCTGGGATGGGCATGCGATTCCAATCGAGTATGCGCGTATGCAGACGGAGACGCCGGCGGTGGAGGCGTGGAATCATGAGTGGAAGCGATGATTTGGCAGCAACATTGATGGACATGGGATTTCCATGGAAAAGCAAGAAATGGTATGGAAAACGGCATCAGATTGTACAACACAACAAAAACCTGTGGTCACGAGCTACAGAAGGTCCTGCCAGCGTGTACTTTTAAAGTTACGTGTATTAGTATCTGAGAGGAGAGTGTTTCTTTTTTTTCCATAGATTTCTTCTACCTTGGGAAAAAAAAATTGACTTTGTTGAATCAAGTCTCAGCTGTGAGTAATCTGGTACAAGTCTTGGGTGAATAAAAAAAGCATTGAGCTCAAGTGCTTTCAGTTTGAGATATTCAAGTCTCTTAACAAACCAACCCAAGTAATCAGCCAGCCCAGCATCAAAAGCAAAGGAAGACGAGACAGAAACATTCTTTTATCTTTCCATAAAAAAAAATCAAATGTGCTAAATTAGTTTTAGAGAGAGGTAATATTTAGGTAGAAGGCCAGAGACAAATTTTGATTATATAAAACAGAAGAATGGACTTGTCGGGGTCGTGTGTTTTTTTCCCCCAGGTCATAGTCATGTCCTTGGTTTCGTGGCGTCTATCTGCCCAAGTGATGCAGCTTGTGCGAGGCCTCTGCGGCGCAGGGCTATACGCGGCGTTTTGAAGAAACCCTGGCTCAGGCATGCGTCTTCTGATGTGTATACTCGCGGGGTTGTATGCTCTTGTGGATGTATTACTCGTGGATAGTTGCGTGAATGAGGTGAGGCGGTACAGTCTGTGCGCATAATCCTCGCTGAGATGAGAAGTGCGGGGGAGGTATAAGGTAGGGCTGGATTACAATACGACGCAGCAGCCGCTGCCCTCGCCATTTTCAAATGTCAATAGTGCGGCGCGGGTGGCGGCTTCGAAAACGTCATCGACACCTTCGCCGCTAAGGCTGGAGCATTCAAGATAGCGCTTGGCGCCAACTTCGCGGGCGACGGACTCGCCGTCGTGTGTCGTGACGAAGCGCAGGGACTTTTTGCGCATCTCTTCAATGGCAACAGGGTCTTCGCGCAGGTCCTTTTTGAGTCCGACGAGGATTATAGGGACGCCAGGACAGAGATCCATGACTTCTGTGATCCACTGAGAGAAGAGGTCCGTTAGCAAATGAACAAGACCAAGAAAAAATAATCGGCCGACGACGCTGGGTTAGGGGAGGGCGATTCGGGAGCCAAGGAGTCGAGGTTGCATACTTTGTTCTTCACGTTGTCGAGCGAATCGGGTGTGTCGACGGAGAAACCAATGAGAATGACATGGGCCTTGGCATATGCTAGAGGGCGCAGTCGCTCGTAGTCTTCTTGGCCGGCGGTATCCCAGAGGGCGAGCTGGACAGACTTGCCGTCTACGCGGCAGTCGGTGACGTAATTTTCAAAGACGGTCGGGATCTTGGTCGTTGAGTCAGTAATAGAATCCGAGGCCGAGGAATGGGAAGCTCACATAATTCTACATTGGGTCAGCATGGTACGAAGGAGGAGGGAGAGGTGTGGATTGGACGACTCACAGTTGGGAAGAAGCCCAAGGTAAAGACGCTCAGCAGACTGGTTTTGCCGCAGGCACCGTCACCGACAATAACAAGCTTTCTAGCGTGGGGGTTAGCATGGGGTGGAATAGATTCCAAGTAGAGCAGGAAGAGACTGATTGCCAGCTGCCCGACAAGGAAATGCTTGCCTTCTTATGACATTTTGGGGGTTAGCGGCGGCCATGGTGGCGGTCTGTGAGGGTATTTCGTCGGCGGTGACGGGGCAAAAAAACAAGGGCAGCGAGTGATCAGCTGTCGTCAGAAGAGCCCAAGTAAGCCGCGCAGATCCAGAGACAGGGTGATGTAAGGTGACAGAAGACAAATATGCGCCTTGTTGAGATCTGTAAGAGGGCGAGCGGGAGGGTTCGTCAATGAGCCAGAGTCGAGGCGGAGTAGGTCAGCGAAGAATTGACGTCTGGATGGTGGAATTACGGCAACGAGGTCAGAAGTACAGAAAGGACGACGAGAAGTAGAAGAGGTAGAAGAAAGAAGAAAAGCGCGAGACGGCGGCCGAGAGTGCTGATTAATTAAGGCTGCGTCCCAAGGCTGGGGTGAGATGCTTGGATGGGTGACGAGCCCAATTGACCGCTAGGTGCCAGTGGTAGAGCGTAGCAGTATAGCAGTAGATACGTGAATAGGGCGCAGAGAGATAGCTACTCGGACAAGGTAACTAGGGATGCAGGGATCGGCTGGTAGACGACGGGTGGCAATGGAAATACACAAGAAGACGGTAGGCGTGTCTGGTGCCGTTTGCGATGGCTTGGGCGGGTGGGATGAGAAGCTGGAGGATAACTGACGTCCCGGCGATTGGACCGAGGAGAGAGGGACGAGGAGAGAGCAAGTAGAGGAGAAGAAGACGGGCACGGGGAGCAATAAGTAGCGAAGCGAAAAGGATGGGCAGGGCGATTAATGTTGTCCGTTGAAGGATGAATTTAGAGAAAAGGATAGAAATACGAGGTTTTGGAGGCTTCGCTGGAGGTAAATCAGATGGTAAGAACAGGCCAGGCAAGACCAAGCAAGGCAAAAACTGTGGCAGCAAATGTTAAACCTTGGGAAAAGGTACCTACGTTGGAGGCGTAGGTACAAGCGGCAAGCGGATTTACAGTGGATAGAGGCCGTCTTTTGGCGTGAAATGTCGGCCTTGCAGGGCAAAGTTTGGACGTCTCGACGGCGGATGGGCGCTGAAAAACAGTGGGGGAGAACCTGAGGAAATATGGAGGTAGCAACTGATTTCAGCGCTGGCAGCTGGTTAGCCTAGCCGCTTGTGGGATAGCGACGATTACTAAGTTTTTTTTCTACAGTGTACCTGGTGGGTGGGCAGCTGCGTCAGGGGTTTTTTCTTTCATTCTTTTAGCGCTCCGGTTTACTCGTACCTAAGGGCCTTTCAGGCACAATATTGCTGTAACCGGCTTGGTTTGCTAGGTCCTACCTACCTACCGACCTTGCTGCGCCGTCTTGCACCGGCTTGCGCCGTCTTGCACTTGTCTTATTACTTGTCACTTTAACCAAACGGTCGTCACCCAGACCACCTTTCTGTTTCCACTCTATCATCCACGATACGAGCGGCCACCAACGTCCAACCCAATGAACATTTCCCATCTTCGACAGGGTATTATTATTATCATTCGCAATATTTGGCGAAAAATATGTCTACATTGGTTCTTAGCGCCGGTCCTCCACTACACGCGATCCGCTTGTTTCTCCGCAACTGGCCGATGTTGTCCGTCCTGCACTTCGTGGGCTATCCTATGTAGTGAACTTGCAGGTACCTGGGTTGCCTGGATAAGTGCAGACAGGAGAAGTCTACACCATGCGACTGGCCGCCCGTCGTTTCCAATGTCTACTTTTCCATGCACTCTCGACCTCTACCACCCCTATCCAGCATGCAAAACTGCGGCTCAGTTGCAACTTGCTGCTTGGCGCAACTTGGCACCGCTTGTCCTGACTCCTCATGCTCGCATGTGGTGGGGATTAGACTTTACCCTCTAATTAACCCTGCCAAACCCATCTTGCGAACTTTCCCCATCTTCCACGACAGTCAGTTATTAAATTAGAAACAAGTGACAGAGAACCGGAGCCTCTGATCAATGGACAATCCTCCATGCCATTGTTCGCCGCTGGGTGGGTACTTCGATCGCAATGCAACACAGATCGCAGCCTTGTCAGAGGCTTGAAGCCATAACTAGTTATCAAGCACGCTAGGCTAGTCAACGGCTGATACGAGAACGAGGCTGCCCATAAGCGTCTAAAAAAAGATCAACCTCGTCTGCAGAGGTTGCCTGCAACCTGCATCCAACGCAGGTCAACAGCGAATCCAGGCACAGAATCCAAACCGAGGCGTCTCTAGCAGCTGGTGGTTTAGCTGTCGACCCAGGAGCGCAACATGAACACGAGGCTAGCGATTGCTAGCTCATCAGTGATTGAGAGCTGGCAACACTTGGGCCTCAACATCAGCTATCAGCCGCGCCGTACAGGTCAGCTATCGCGGGTGTTTTTAAATGTAAATACTGATATTATCACCGCAAATATAACGACGGCCGTGACGTCGTGGCATGTAGCTCAGCTAAAGGTTGATACAGCTTGGCTGCGTGTTTGGGGAATTTGCGGCGGCGCGTTGAAACTGATACCGTGATTAATACGAATAAACAAGATCAATGGTCAGACAAATATCGAAGCAGATATCCCCTATTATAACTCTATTTCTTTGGTGTGCGTCTCCCTTGTGTGCTTTGTCTCCCACCTGTTTGCTTGTAAACGTGCCACGGCTGTTGTTTGACGGCAAACAGCAGTATGAGGCGGACGTCGTGCCGGATTGGGAAATATGAGCCCCGGCGGCAGAATCTCTTTTCTCTTTCTTTCTGTCATGTATTGTTGCCCAGGAGTGTGACATTTGTGACATTGGGGATGAGATGTGTGTATTTGCGAGCTGAAGATGTAACCCGTGAACATCGACAAGCTGCGAGATTGCGCAAGCCGAAGAGGTAACCAACTGTTTAAGTACCTAGTTTGAGCCCACAACAGAAAAATAAGGCACCTTGAGGGTTCCTCGAGTCCAGTGGCCCATGGTCCGGGGATGGGCAACAGGTCACGTGGCGACATCCAGAGACTTTGGCGCCCCACTTCTACAGTCGACAAACAGGTACAGAAAATCTGGTCAGCGATATGGCAGACAAGCGGCTGTGTGATTCGCGCAAGATGATTTCTGTAATTGTACGCTTCCCAAAACTTGGTATCAAGATACTCTTTGATACAACGCTTGCCGGCGTCTTTCTAACGGCTCGCTAACCCCACTGCAAACGCCTGCAAGCGCCAACCCCAAAAACAGTTGCACTTTTCTCCAGCCTTCTAGCGCCGCCCACGTTATCGCATGTACCTTTTGGCCGCATTCTTACCTGTTCGTGACTTTGCTTGCAATCCCTAGTTTGCGCCTGCACAACGCCCATCAAAGCATCACATCCTAGACCCGTGTAAATGCCCCCGTGCTGCTGATTCAATGTCATGGCCAAATTAAAGTCCAAAGATTCTTTCATCTCTCGGCCGTGTCCCACCCCCTCACCCCAGCCATTGGCGTCATCGCTGACCTAATAACCCTGAAGCCGGGCCGTCAGTACCTCAGTTTCGGGAGGGGACCCGCGACCTGATCCTGGGCAAGCAAAGCATCCACCACCACCACATCCCAAGGCCACCTCCAACCAAGCAACGTTCTACCCACCAACCCAACGTTCGCTCACCTGCCGCCGGCCAAAAAAATTAGCCCGTCATCCTTTAGAGCGCCCCTCTCTCGACGTGCGCGCGTCATTCTTAGACATCCATCCGTATCTCACTATCCCTTCTCGCCATTTTCCCCTAGACAACCCGCGCCTCCGCCTGTCCCTCCTCCGCGGCACACATCGCTCTTGATGAGCTCGGCGCCGCCGCTCGACTGGTAGACCGTCCTACGATGCCGGCCAACACCAATAAACCGGCTGCTCCCTCTCCGGCATCGCCCAGAAACACCTCCAAGTACACAAATAAGGATGGCTCCAAGTTTATCACCGTCCCCAAGGGCTACGCCGACTCGTCTTCTTCCCAGCCCGCTACGCCAACGCTGTCTGCGACAAACGACCACCAATTTGCCGCTCAGTCCCAATCTGCGGCTCCCGCTGCCGCCGACCGCGACGACGACAATGCCTCGACCGCAGCCCCGTCCGTTAATCGCAAAAAGCAGAAGCGAAGGCAAAAGGCCGCTGCAAAGGCTGCTGCCGAAAATGCTCTCAACGGACACGGCCCGGCCGCACAGAGTCACGTTCACAGCCACGCCCACGCCCATGCTCACGCTTATGGACATGCTCATGCTCATACTTATCGCGCCAGCATCTCCATTCCTCCGCCGCCCCCTCCGCAGGACGCTGATCTTGTCGCGACCGACGATGATGACGACGAGGCTCCCTACCCCCCGTCAGGCCGCCCGCATCAGCACAACGGCGAGCCGTCCAAGTCTAAGAAGAATCGCAAGAAGAAAAAGAAGCATGCTGCCGCAGAAGCTGACGATGACCTCTTGTCCCTACCGCCGCCGCCCGCCGAACCAACGCGCCGACACGCAATGTCCAGAGATAAGATATGGAGTACCAGCAATCACGAAGAGCGCGAACGAATCAAGGAGTTCTGGCTCGGACTCGGTGAGGAAGAGCGAAAATCTCTTGTTAAGGTCGAGAAGGACGCTGTGCTGCGCAAGATGAAGGAGCAGCAAAAGCACACCTGCAGCTGCACCGTCTGTGGCCGCAAACGCAACGCCATCGAGGAGGAGCTTGAAGGGCTTTACGACGCTTACTATCTCGAGCTTGAGCAGTTTGCCAACCAAGGCGAGGGTCCTCCCATGCTGCCCCCGCCTCGTGACTTTCCTATACGACCACCTCGCGGCCTGCCTACGAGCTACGCACCGCACCCGCCCTCACGAGGACGAATAGTGGAACACGTGGCTGACGACGAAGACGAGGAAGAGGACATTGAAGAGGTGTACAGTGAAGAGGATCTGGATGACGACGAATATAGTGACGAAGACCCTCCCGAAGCCTTTCACAGTACGCACGATCGCGACGTCGCCGATTTTCTTACATTTGGCAACAGTCTTCAAGTCAAGGGTACGCAGCTCCTAGATACACTCTTGCGCACATATGGTAACCTGGAACTAGGCGGTATCCTCACCGTGGCCGATGACCTACTGAAGAATGATGGCAAGCGCTTCATCGAGATGATGGAGCAGCTCGCCGAGCGCCGCATGGCGCGCGAGGAGGATGCTAGGGAGCAATTTCCCCGCGGCTTTGCGCACCCCAACGGCGCCCCATACTCTACTCCTCACAATCATCCTCCTCCCGAAGAGGAAGAGTACGAAGATGAGGAGGACGAGGAGGAGGATTATGTGGACAGCCAAGAGGAAGAGTATGAGGACGAAGAGGTATATTCCAGTTCTTCTGCCATGCCGTCCGCGTACCATACTGAGCACAGTCTTCAGGACCAAATGACCGAGGCGCAGCGAATGGAAGAAGGACGTCGCATGTTTCAAATATTTGCCGCTCGCATGTTTGAGCAGCGCGTCTTATCTGCGTACAAGGAAAAAGTAGCCAAAGAACGTCAACAAAAGCTGCTCGAGGAACTGGAGGAAGAAAGTCGACAAGAACACGAGCAAAGAGCTAAAAAAGCCAAGAATGCGCAAAAGAAAAAGGACAAGGCCGCTCAACGAAAACAAGCTCTGGCCGAGGACAAGGCTCGTAAGGAGGCTGAAAAGGCTGCTGAGGACGCTGCTCGCATAGAAGCAGAGCAAAATCGCGTGGCTCAGCAGAAGCAAAAGGCCGACGAGAAGCGCCGTCTTAAGGAAGCTCAACGAAAGGCAGAAGAAGAAGCCCGTCTTAAGAAGGAGGCTGAACGACTGCGGAAGATTCACGAGCAAAAGGAGAAGCAAGCTGAGCAGGAACGTAAAGCGCGCGAGGCCAAGGAGCGCGAGAAAAAGGCCAAGGAAGAGCAGCGCCTAAAAGACAAGGAGGCACGCGAGCAAAGGGAGCGTGAAGCGCAGGAGCGCAAGGAGAAGCAGGAACGCGACAAAAAGGACAAGGAAGCGAGAGCAGCAAGGGCGCAAAAAGAGGCGCAAGAGGCAAATGAAGCCAAGGCCAGAGCAAAGGCTGCCTCTGTCGCCGCTGGACTGGTGCCTTCGCAGATTCAGCTGGCCAAGCGCGGACATCCACAACAAACCGCCACCGCACCTGCGACGGCCATCTTGCCTCACCATCCGCCGAATCCAGCCAATTTTGCATCACCAAAGGTGCCCGTCGCGACGCCCGTGCTGCCCAAGTCTGCTGTTCCAACACCTGTACGCCCACGAGCCCCATCCCAGCAGCACGACGCTACCTTTTCGACAGCGTCCCCTAGTCTGTCGCCGCGATCTAGCAGTGTCGTCCATATGAGTCCCGCGAGCATTGGCCAGGAGCGCAAATCGAGTTTCGGTGCCACCCCTGGCTTGCCCTACTCTGTCTCGCCCCCAGGTATGCCGCCCACTCCATCGCTGCTGTCTGCCGCTTTTCACGGAAACCCGATTGGTATGCAACCGCCTCCAGGACTGCAGCACCACGCACCACCTGGATTCCCGTCGCGTCTTGCTACCGAACCTGTGTTTCCTGGCTTCCGGTCCAGCCCTAGCGCCATGATGATGGCACCACCTGGTATCAACGGACCAGCTGGTCGCGGCATGCCTTCGGGCGGTCCGATTGGACCCCCCGGATTCCACCAACCTATCAGTGACCAATTCCCTATGAGCCAAGGATTCAACGGCATGCCCAAGGACACACCCCCGCCGACGCACACCCGCCAAGGTTCCGGCGCATACGACGCCATTGGCAGTGCCGCCATGCCCATTGGACGACCAGCCCCGATAGGAAGACCTGGAAGTACATCCCGTGGACGTCGCAACGACGGCGAGGATGAGACTAAGCATCTCGGTAGCAGTGTACTCGTAGAGGACGACGAGCCCCTCGGACCGGACCTCAACCCAGGCAGCCTCCGCACACAACCGCCTGGCCCGCGCCCATCCGCCTTTGCACCGAACCCGTTTCTGGATACTGGTTTCCCGCGCGGCGGCCACAACCTCTGGGCACCCACGCCCGCGTCGGCTAATGGTCAGCATTTTCCTCCTCCCGGCTTCGGCAACCCCGGCTGGGGAGCGCCTCCACCCGGCATGTCCCCTGGCGGCTTCAGCGTCGGTTCGCCCGGCGGCGGCATGCGTAGCCTCTCGCAGGCGTCACGCCCCATTGCGATCCGGCAGATGCTGTGCAATGCGTGCAAGGCGCTCGCGGGCACTAGCGGTGACGGCATAGGCGACGGCAGCGGCTTCGTCGACATCCACGCCCTCCGCAGCCACATTGAGAGCCAGTGCAACGACCCGAGTATTACCGCGCAGGATCTGCTCAACCTCTGCGACACCGAGGGTAGCGCGTCCAACGGCGGCGGCACGTTTGACGTGGTCAAGCGCGACAATGCCGCGCACGCCATCCGCTGGGTGCCCGACGTCACCATGCTCGACAGCCTCCTCGGCAGCAACGGCCTGCCCGGCGGCGGCCCTGTGTTTCGGCAGCCCGTCGGGGCGCCCGGCGAGATTGGCAGCCCCCTCATGGGCTTCTCGTCCGCGTCGATGCGGGGTCTCTAGAATACGCCTCGGGTCGTCGAAGTCGGCAACAGCAGCAGCGACGCGACCAGTGGCAGCGACAAAAGTCCCAGCCCGTCGCGCCGGCCAAACTTGCTCCAGCGACTTGGTCTTTTGGAAGAACATGCCGAATCCTAAACTTTGGGGGCCTCGCTTCGCTCGAGGCGTGGACGTCAAGAGTGTTATTGGCTCCTCGCGTACGCTCGAAGCGCAGCCTCGTGCGGGAAAGATTGGCAGGGGTTTTTTTCCAAAGACGCCGTCGGTCGGCCTTGCTGGCTCAGATGGACTGATGGGACCAAGGATAGAGAGAATGTATTGGTCGCTCACTTACAGGCTTGTCGTGTGCGACTTTTTGAACGGTTCTTTCTGTTCTTGATCTTTGGTCTTAATCTTTGGTCTGATCTTCTCTTTTTAGACTGTGGATATACATGGCATTCTAGGTAGTCGGTGCTGTTTTCTTGTCTGATCTCTTTAAATACTCACTTGCATTGACTCTCTCGTGCGCTACGGTCGGTTACTTGCCCGCTTTTCCTCGTTGCTACCCGCTGTCGTCTGTGTAGATGTGACATATATGCATAATGAATAAATATACAGAGCATGGCGAGTGGTGAGCAGAATGATTTCTTCTTTTTATGCAATGCGAAAAATTAATAAAAAAAATCAAGGTATGGTATTCAAAGTCGCTGTCCCCTCTCGCGGCTAGTCCAAATGACGACGAGTCAACACCCGCCATGAACAAAATCAGCAACGCGTTTTCCTAGTCCAAGAATACATGTCCAGTGTGTCTTCTACATTTCTGTTATTACGCCTCTGTTCCTTGTGACTAACATCAAACTCCGTAATAATAAATGGCATGATAATCAACGAGAGCCGGGTCGCGCTTAGTGAGGCTGGCCGTCGCCAAAGGGGTTGACGCTGCTACCCTGCGTCCGGTACTCGGTGTGCTGCTGCTGCTGCTGGGCCATGAGTGGCGCGCGCACCTCCTCGGCGCGCTTCTTCTTGGTGGCGGCGCGGGCGAGCGCGGTGGCTTCGACGCGGGCATTCAGTTTCTTCTGGGCGCGGCTCTCGGCGCAGCTCATAAAGATGAGGAAGCTGATGCCGCCGACGAGGATAACAGAAAAGACAATAGCGCAAATGATGCCGCCAATGTCAAGTTTGTCGACCTTGGACATGCATATATCCTTGCCGTTGGGATCCTCGGTGCAGAGCCAGCCGGAGCGGCAGGACTTGGCAGTGACGGGACCCTGGCGGCAGGGTTGCGAGGTGCCGGAGACGAAGCCGGGGCAGATTTTCTGAGTGCTGATTTCAGTGGTAAAGCAGTCGTCACCCTGTGCGTTTTCGCGAGCGACGATGACGGGCAGTGGAAAGAGGGGCGCGGGGGTGATCATAACGGCCATGCGGCGGCGGAGTTCGTCGGCGGCATCAGCGGCGAGCTGCTGGCAGCGGGGGAGCGCGTCGGCGGCTTCCTCACGGGCATCAAATTCGGAACACCCCGCGTCGCGGTAGCAGTCTTCAATGGAGGAGATTGCGGGTGCGGAGGGGAGCTGGGAGATACAGTGGGAAAGGGCGAGGCGGGCGGCGCACTTGGAGTGTAGCGCGATGGCGTCGTGGTGCTCGCGGAGGCAGTCGTCGGGGGTGGTGGACGAAGGAATGGCGGAGGCGGCGGCGCCGAGGGCGAAGGCGAGGGCTGCAAAGCGCATGGTGAAAGCGACGCTGATCCGAAAGGAGTGTGCGGCAAGAGCGTGGAAATGTATCGTGGGTTGCTCAAGAAGGAAGGAAGGGGATCAGCAGGGAAAGATGTCGAGGATCTGCGGTTGGAGACCCGGGGCGAGCCGCTGGAGTAACGTAAAAGGGGGGGCAGTGATTAGAAGAGCCAAAAGCCACAAGCGACGCCGAGGTGATGCCAGTCAAAGGAGGGAAGAAGAAAAGGAGGGAATAAATGGCAGTGAATGCAACGCGAGGCGGTCAGGGCATGGAAACGGGGTGCTGACGAAAGAAGGAAAGGCTGGTAAAAAGGGAGTCTCGAGGAGAAGGACGCGAAAAGAAGGGGAAAAAAGGTTCGTGGCCAGGGGTCGCCGTTATTAGTGCGGGACGGCGGCTGGGCTGTCAAAAAGCCTTGCAGTGACAAGGCTGTACACGGGGGACCAGACAGGTCCGCGACGAAAAACAGCCTTGGCGGCGGGTGGTGTACGAGGCGAATTACTGCAAAAGGGGACCAGGGAAAAATCAAATGGCCACTAGAAAGGAATGTCTTGGAAGGATATATATGGAGGAATCATGGGCGGGTTTTATTCGGACGAAGAAAGATGGTGTTGGGCAGCGATCCACGCTCTTGCCGCACACTCCTTTCGGATTGTTCAAGGTCACTGTAGGTGATTACCAAGGGGGTGACAAAAAAGCTGGCCCATTCTCGCAGGCGTCCGCATCATACTCAACGAAGGGTGTATAGAATAGAAAATAATAGAAAATATTTAAGAAACTAATAAAATATATAAGAAATAATTTAGATATTAAAATTTAATCTTATCTTTATTTTAGCTAGATAGACATTTTCTAGTGTTTATTAAGAATTATTTAAATATAGGCAGCTAACCTTTATTACTCTCATGATAGGCCCCTTTTTTTGTCACCCGCGTGATTACCTACCTAGCAACCTAGGTAGCTGCGGGCAGGGATGTGGCTGGGGTGGGCTCAAGGGGCGAAGGGTGCTATTTTTAGGAGGATAGGACTTAGTCAAGATATGCGTCGTGCACATCCGACGAAGATGCTGCTGATAATGGCAAGGTGAGAGAGATACTTTGCAAAGAATAATCTATACAGAGGAACTGATCGCGACATGTTCAAAGTAGTGACTGGCAATGGGATGTGCATCCTGTTGCGTTGGGGGTGGCGGGCCGATGAACAAAGCATGCGCCACTGTGGCTGGTCCGCTGAAATGCAACACTTGATGACGGAAATGAGAAATCGAGGAAAACAAAACATATCGAAAAAAAGAGGAGACTTTGAGCAAAACGAGGAGCAAGTGTTTTTATGCCACACATCGAAGAGAGGTAAAGTAAAAAACAAAAACAAAAATTGAAGGTGGCTACAATAGCAACGCCATCAGGGGACTATTGCCTAGCATAAGCAGGGTAAGCTAATGATGTCTAGTACAGTGCAGAAGAGAAGTATCAACCATCAATGCAATCAAGGACAAGGCTTGACTAATATCAAATCGAGTGCAAGCCGTGAAAGACGATACTCTGCATGTATCAGATTAACCCCGATAAAATGCATAAAATATCTGATCGGCCCTACACGTCACCCTGCCATACGTGTGCCCACCGGCTACCGTATCCAGTAACTATGGGCTGAATCATGTTCATGCTTGGAAGTTGCAAGCTCCAACGTCATCGGCTGCCACACATGTTGGAACTCTATAATACCACTGCGACCCTTGCCAACTTTTTTTGTCCTATTTTAATCTCTGCATCCATTTAACATTCCACTATACTCATCTAATCAATAACATCTTCAATAACAACAATAACCATGCCTCTTGTACTACCCAACCAAAACCCCGACGCTTCCACCAAGACGGAAGAGTGGCAGAATAAGCTAGTCGGCAAGACTATCAACGAGACGGCAACAAATGAGACGGTATGTCTTTTTTTTAATCAACAAGTGTGTGCATGGCGGATTGGATTAGGGGCTAATGATGACTCGCGGAGGGGGGACTTAGAACTTTTGCAAACGTGATCTTCCGCAGGAAACGCGCATTATTGAGCCTGGCACCATGGTGACGAAAGATTTCAGAGAGAATCGGCTAAACGTGCACGTGGAAAAGGATGGCGTCGTGACGCACGTCTACCATGGTTGATGATGATCGGAGAGATGGTTCGGTTCGGGTGGGCGCTCGGCGGGCGATTCGTAACAGCGACGAGCGGGAAGGACGTGCTGCATCACCGCGTGCATCAGAGAAATAGACAAATCCATCATCAAGAACTAAAAATAAAATCTGAGCTGCCTGATTGTTTTTCTCTTTCCTCGAAACAATAAGGATCCCGAATTGTTGCGCCGACCTTGATTCTGTTGTGACCCCGCCGCGGGGCACGTCGACTTTTCCCTCTAGCTACCCCTCCAATCGTCACCCCGCCATCCAGCTTCTTTTTCTACTTTCCATCACATTGACCGCCAAAATGTTTAAAAAAGAGTACGTTTCACCCTCATTCTTCCTATCTGTAACCCAGGCTCTCTTTACGCTTACCCGCTCACCCGCTAACCCCCGCCTCAGCCTCCAAGCCGCCCCCAAGCAAAAGCTCAAGTCGTCTGTGCAGCGTTCCCTGCGCCAGGCCCTCCTGACCACCTACCCTCTGCTGACGCCTTACATCGACGAGGTGCTCCCGAAAAAGGCCTCGCTCTCCTCGATCAAGCTGCCCGACCGCAACACGCTCTACGTCATTGACACGACGCCCCTCTTTTACAATCTGCAGGACTCGGGCGATATCCTGCCGCACCTGCGTCTCGTGCACCGCTTCCCGCAGTGCTTTCCCTCGGTGCGCATCGACCGCGGCGCAATCCGCTTCGTGCTGTCGGGCGCGACGCTGATGGCGCCGGGGCTGACGTCGGCGGGGGGCAGACTGCCGGCCGATGGCAGCCCAAAGGGGTTGGAGGAAGGGAAAGAGCTGGAGCAAAAGGTGGACGGGGACGGACGATGGAGCAGGGAGCTGGTAAAAGGGGAGCCGGTGGTGATTATGGCCGAGGGAAAGGAGGAGGCGTGCGCGGTGGGCGTTTTGGTGGAGGGTACGGCAGAGGTCAAGGCAAAGGGCAAGGGGCCGGTCGTGGAGGAGGCTCATTATCTGGGCGATGGGTTGTGGAACTTGGCTCTGGACTAGGCAGGACGTTGTGAAGTTGAGTCTGGAGGAATTGATGAAGATAAAATTGCATTGTATATACATTTACGTGGCATGACATGGGGTTGAGGAGTTGGGGATACCACCGGCAAAGTGATGATATGAATGTTGAATTGAAGGGGCTCGAAGTGGGTTCCGGGTTACATGCATGGTGAGATGGCATAGTTGAATGAGATTCATTGAAGCAATTGCAAGCTGATTTAGTGTACAGTTTGAGCATAAGCCATATTCGAGCGTAGCCAATCCTTTCAAGCCATCATCTTTGAAGCCATCATTTCCCAAAGCCATCAGCAATTAGAAGCAGCCCAGCTGCGTTGAAGCCACGTTGAGCAAACCAAGCAAGTCATCAATCGTATCCATCATACATTAAGCAAACAATTCTCATCATTCAGTCTCCTCCAGTCATGATCCTTCACTGCTGCTCTGCCGCAGCACCATCCACCGGGTCCTCTGCCCGCTGCTCTTCCTGCTGCATCATTTCCTGCTGGCTCCGGAAGAACATGTTGAGCACGTCTGGCACATCCGCCATCCAGTCAAAGTCCAGACACCCCGCCATGCGAAAGAAGCGCAGCCACCACTCGTGGTAGTCGACCTCTTCCGGCACGACCCTGATCCTGGCAGACACGTCAATCAGCGCCGCAAACTCGTCTGGAAACTCGGCCGTCAGCGCGGGCCACAGGTCGCGCGGCACCGCGAGCGCGTACAGGCACACGAGCTCCGCCGGCGGCAGCCTCCGCCTAAGCGCGTCGGGCGCGGCGCTGAGCACGCGCCACGCGCGAAAAATCTCCTCGGAGCGGTGCACAAAGTAGTGGTGGTCCATGACGCCGTGCGTGTCCGGCCGGTGCGGGTTGCGGTAAAAGACGCGGCGGGCCACGTAGCGACGGAAGCTGGCGACGAGGAGGCAAACTTCGCGGTGCATGCCCCAGTCGGCGGCCTGGCGCGCGGCGAGGGCCAGCTTGACGAGGTTGAGGCCCGGCTCGGCGCCGGAGAAGCCAGAGGGCGAGACGAGCGTCTCGAGGACGAGGGCGAAGACGGAGGCGTCGATGAGCGGGGAGAGCACCCAGCCGTGCGGAGGACGCTCGAGGTGCAGGAGCAGCTGCCAGTGGGGGTAGCGCAGGAGGAGGTGTACGGGGCAGAAGAATGTGCGGCCGCCGACGGTAAAGGGTTCAAAGCGGCTGCAGTTGTTAGAGATGAAAGGATTGGGAAGAGAGAGATAAGGACGTACCCGCTGAGCCAGGAGCCGTCGACGACGCGGGAGCCGGGAGAGCGAGGGAAGCGGTCCTAGGTTGTGTTGGTCAAAAAAGTTTGAGAGTAGAGAAGGGAAGAACAGTTTATATACATCACCGGGGAGCTCGTGCTCAATCTGTCCTCCGCCGCCGCCGCCGCCGCCGCGCGCAGCAGCCATGGCGTTGCGGTGAAACGGCGTAAACGGCAGCTGCGGGAACATTTCTGCCTCTGGAGCGCGCGGTTGATAGATGGGCGGCGCGCCGGGCGTCGCCGGAGGGTTCGCTGCCGTCGGTACCGCAAAAAGTCCGTTGAACTCGTATGGCGGGGAGTCGGACGCGGGCACCCGACCGCTCGCATGCGGCGCAAAGACGGGCGGCGGCGGCGGCGGCGGCGCGACGGTCTCTGAAGCGAGCGGGATACCGGCTTCCAGAAACGCTGCGGCCGCTTCCTGCAGCGTCTGCTCGGCGGCAGCGGGAGGGTCGGATCGAAAAGGAGAAGCAGGGGGAGCAGTGTCGTCGACGGCGGGGAGGGAGCGCGGCGAGCTGTCTTGGTCGGCGGTGACGGCGCGCGTGCTCGTCGTCTGGGAGGAGCAGGTGCTGACGACGGGCGCTGAGGCGGACGAGGGCAGAGAATTCGATTCGGGCCTCTTGACGGGTGCGGTGGAGGTGGTGAGTTGTTGGGAGGCAGACGGCTCGGCAGGACGCGGAGACGCAGAGGGACGTGAGCGGGCGAGTAAGTTCCGGACGGTGCGCCGGTTGAGGTACGGCATTGCGGCTTGAAGGGGAAAGTTTGAAGAAGCGAGCAAAATGTCGGCAACGGGTATCTTTTTTGGGGGGGGTTTATTGCTTCGCAACAATGGCAGAAAAGGAGGCAAGTTGAAGCGATGGGAGTGAGATCTGGAAGCTTCGCAACGATGACCGGATTGAGAAGGAGAAGCGAACGCTGGAGCAGAGTATTTATATCATGATGAAATGAGGGAAGGTTGTTGTGACGAGTATTTGAATGGTGCTTGTTTTCGTTGCTATTGTGTGTGTGTATAGACGCTGCAGATTAGGTATTGTAAAGTTCTTGATGGAGTCGAGAATGGGACTTGAGAACCCCATGAGAATGGGAGTTGTAAAGTCGCCCATTGTTGGACAAAGGCCCCCGAGGTGGCTGGGGAGATGAAAAGGTGAAGCTCACATCCTTTCCTCAACAATAGACCAACCCTTGGGCCCCTCCCATGAATACCGTAGGCGAAGCTGCTCTCTCTCACTTTCTCGTCAGACAGGGCCGCAGTACACCACCAGAACCTGTACCGTAATTACCCCTACCTATCTACTCCTACCGCGCCGCCGCTGCCGCCGACCCCATCAAGCTGCCATACTTGAGCGCGTTGAGCGTCGCCGCGTGGTGCGTGTTTGCCGGCGACACCGTCACCACCATGCCCGCCACGGCCGCCTCGTCCGTAAACGCCTCCCGCAGCACCATGGTCAGCGGCGACGCGCGATACGGCACCCGTCGCCGCGGCGACCGCATCGCCCACGCCCGCATCACCTCTTTGAGCGCCAGCAGGTCGGTATTGATCTGCCGCGCCTCGTGCTTTTCCGTTGGCGTCTGCGCGCGCTTGGCCGTCGCCGTTGACATGATGATGGTGTTGTTATCTTGGTTGTACTCTGCGCCTGCCAAGTCGACAAACACCATTTTGCCACCCAAGCCGGCGTCGCGGTACCGCTCGTACACGGATGCGACGACGGCCTCGGCCTCGGCGACTCGCATCTCAGACGCCTCCTTTTCGGCCGTGACTTGGTCGATGAGGGCTTGATTGATGACGTAGTCTGGACGCGGGCGGTAGGTGCCCCCGGGAGACCGCAGCACGGCCCGGGTCTGCTCCGCGACGGTAATATCGGTGGCGCGCTTGCCCACGGGGACGAGCTCCGACTGGCGGTCGACGAGTGCGGCGCGCGCGGCGACGAGCTCCGCGTTGACGAGCTCAAGCGCCAGAACTGCGTGCGTGCGCGAGCTCTGGTCGTGGACCGACGAGGTGCCGACGGCGCGACGCGAGAGCGCGCGACGCAGCGCATCGCGCAGCTCGGAAAACGTCCAGCACGGCTGCTGCACGAGCGGCTGCACGCGAACCCTGCCGTCCGCGTGTGTTTCCGTCTCCCCGCGGATGTGCACCTTGCCGTCGGGCCCTTGGCGGATATGGCACCTGGTCCCGTCGTTGAGCAGATCAAACGCCGCTTTCTGACGGAGCTCAAACACGCTCAGGCCAATCGCCAACGGGCTCTGGTTCTCGACAGCGCCTCGCGCGGTGATTTGCGCAAAGAGCTGCTGCGCTGCCGCCAAACACAGTCCCGCTCCAGAACCGTCCCCGTCGCTATTTCTGTCCTCGTCGTAGCCAATGACGGTGTGCGTCTTGCCGCTGCCCGAGTGCCCGTAGGCAAAGAAGCTGCAGCAGCCGCCGGCGAGGACGCGCGGCACGGCGGGCAGCACGACGGTGGCGAAAACGGCGGCGTTGGAGGCGGTGCTGTCAAAGACGGCGTCAAAGGCAGAAGCGCTCGTCCACGGCTTGTCTGAGGGGGAGAGACGGCGGTGCACGGTGACGGCGAGGAGGGGTGATGAAGCGGTGGTGGTGGTGGTGGTGGTGGTGGTGGTGTGGTGATCGACGCTGCCGGCGGCGGTCTCGGCGCCGATGAGGGGACGCCAGCGGACAAAGACGTTCATGAGGAATGGGGGGTGGTGGGAAGAGGAGAGATGGATTGGGGTGGTGAAGTTGGGAGATGGTGTATGGAGGAGGTTTATAAGTGTTGGTGGAGAGGATTTATTCGGCTGCCTAGTCATGGCAGGCAACCATTTAACAAACAGGCACCAATACGATAACGCTGTTCAAACTGTGACTATATATTCTATTTCAGGATTGTGCATCTATTTTATGTGATGCTCGCGTCTTGTTCGTGATGTCGTGGCGTTGCCTCATGTATGTGTTTACCACAAATGTAGTTGGCTTTCTGATCCTCGAGTCGCTGTGATGCCAAGAATATAAAAGACAAAGTCTTGGCCAAGGGCCCTGGCTGAGATTGTCTCATTTCTCATAACGTGAGTGCATTTTCTTTGATAATTGTCGAATGTCACATCCGTCTGACTTTCACACTCTTGTCCAGATGCTTCAGATTGGCCTCGGCACACTTGCCCTCGCCGCCGTGCATCTCACATCTCGAATACTCAATTTCAACTTTTCAATTTCTGAGCTCGATAGAAGTCGTGACTTTCCACCCCAGACTATGAGCACAATCTAACTTTGTAACCTCTTCTATTTCCCAGCGACACAAACATAAACCATGTCCTGCGTATGACAGTCGGCTCTCTCCTTCCACCTATACAGCAAGCTACACAGCAACCTCCCAAATCTTCTCTAGCCCATCCTCTTCATCCCACTGCTCGCCCACCTCCTCAAAGCCACACCCCTTGACCACTCCCTCCGACGCCGCGTTTCCCGGGCTGATGGACGCCCGCACCACCCTCACCCGCGCATCCCCCGCCGCCACGTCCAGCATGATGCGCAGCGCCGCCCGAGCGTGGCCCCGACGCCGATACGCCGGGTCAATCGCGTAGCCCACCTCGACCATGCCGCGCTGGTGGTCCGGCGGTCCGTGAAAGCCCGCGCGGCCGACTACGACGACACCGCCGGCGCCGGCGCCGCCGCCGTCCGTCTGTGCGTCCACCACTAGCAGTAGTCGGGTCACCCAGACGGCGCCGTCCGGGTCGGTGCGGATCTGAGCGGCGCGACGCTTCCACACCCCGAGACACTCGGATGAGACAAGGTATGGGGTCATGTCGGGGTTGTTGGAAAGCTCTCTAGCAGATTGCAAGTCATTATTGGCGAGCGCGTTCAGGACGGCAGGTGCAAGTTGGATGAGTTGGTGCTGGGCCGCTTCGGGAGCCGTCGATGTCCAGTGTTTGTCAGAGACTATCATTGTGGCCTAGGAGGTTGGCTGTTTCTTAATTTATGCTTGCTTGAGTATATGAAATAAGAAGAGTCATTCTGATTAGCGTTGGCCGCGACTGGAACTTGCTGCGCCACAATATTCATATACACCAGCCACGATGATGTCTGGTCGTTGTCTGAATAGAGACATCGGCAATGTGTGAGCATCTTTATCGAGTTTTTGGGCGCTGTATATAAAAGCTACGGCTGCATATTTGTTCTACAACGGCAGACATTATTAAACACGTTTTTATGGCAGATAATACGTGAGTGGGCTTCGACAGTGGGAATGCATCAACAGAATTGGAAATTGTTTACCTGTTCCCGATTCCCGAGTTATCTACTGTTCAAATCGCGCCTCCACAGAACCCAACGTCTCGCCGTCCAACTCCATTGAAAATTTCATGACCGCAGAATCGAAGCAGATAACCAGGTCATACGTCACCTCCCAGCTGAGCAATGTCAGTCAGTATTGTGCCGCTTGTGCTACAGCTTGTTACTGTTCATGCACTGATACTTACTAAGTCTCGGCCTGGTCATCTGTTTCAGAAGGAAAGCCAGCTCGCTTGCTCACGAGCGCTTGGCTGTGCTTTCTAGTTCTTTTGCTGAATTTGGACAATGGCACATTGGAGACATCCGCGTATAGGACACAGTTCACCTTGACATTTCGGCTTTTTGACCTGTGTATCGGCGCATTCCTAATCCTTGTTAACAAGCACAAGCACAGTCTGACTGGGATGAGTGAATCGACTCACTCGTCAACACAGTCATATAAAGTACTTTTGAAGACTGCGTCGTTGGCAGTAAAATTTTCGGGCAAATGTCTGTAGAACCCCAGTCGAATCTTGTCATTTCTTTTAATGTTGTCGCCGATGGTAATGTGCCAACTCATCTGTGATTGTCAACAAGGCAACTATGGATGCATCAAGTCCTGACCTACTCGATGAGCCATTCTTTCTCCTGTGAATCTGCCATAGTAAGAGGGCTGACCCTTGTCAATGACTTTGTCGTACATTGCACCACACTCTACACCATAGTGTCGAACAGCTGACACGCTGGTCACCACTGCATTATCTGGCATTTTTGACAAGGCAGCGCCTCTAAAGTGCAGAATTAGTGTATGGAGGCATGTCAGTTAGAGGAGTAAAAGGAGCAATCATACTTGGCTATGGCAGCCCAAGCATCGTCCGGCTGAGCTACCTTGATGCCCTCATGAACCCTCTCAACTTCTTTTCTGAGGTATTCGCTGCTTCCAAAGCCGCCGACGAGGAAAATCGCCTTTTCTGTTAGCTCAATCATTCACGTTTGAGGAAAAGCCCCTTGAACATACCCGAACAGCTTTTCCCTCCCGCTGAACCGCCTGCACTTGGTGCTGAATGAGATGTAAGATGTCGGCGATGACCGGGTCAAAGATGGCCTTGACGTCCCGTCTGCATTGCAAATTAGACATGATCATCGGATTAGAGAGTTTCGCTCGTACCCAGTCATTTTCCATTCGTTGCCCAGCAAGCCTTTCTCTGGAATGTCTTCGAGGTCAGCGCCAGGTAAATCGACATAGAATTCCTCATTCAAGTCTCCCGAGAACTCGAGCTTGATCTCGTTCTCGAATTGCTGGCTGGCCTTGACCATGGCCCTGCTATCTTTGAATTTTTGCCACCGATCACTCGGGATCAATGCCTCCAAAACTGCTTTGAACCGACGATTCAAAGCTATAGACCCGACCGTGTCTCCTATGAGCTTGCGTCAGTAGACTCCCTGTTGCCAGAGCCTCGAGAACTACCTGTGCCGGGAACAATTTCTCTCAATTCGAGGCTGGGGGAAGCTTTTTCAATCTCATACGAAATCAAATCGACTGTGCCTCCGCCGGCGTCGCATATCACAATAACATCGCCTGGTGTGAGGAATGCATCGAGTTGTCGAATCGAGTACAGGGCCGCGGCTTCGGGCTCTTTGATCAAAGTGACAGGAGAGATTCCAGCCGCTTTCGCTGCCTATATTTTTCTTTCTTTCAGGGAAACGCTCGAGGTAAAACAGCTTTGTCGGCAGCGTGGAAGCGCCAAGTGTAGTACTATACCTCGAGCGTCGCATTTTTGGCAGCGTCGGACCACACTGCGGGCACTGACTTTTCCGTGAGTATGTATCAAGAGTGAATGGCGTACATCAAGTACCTGACATGACGTATTCAACTTGGAATAAATCGAGAGCATCTTGCGCGAGATTTGTCGCAATTTGCGACATGCCGTGAGCTTTCAAAGAGCGCATAAAATCCGTCGCTACGTTCTTGGGTGTCTTAAAAGGCGGCAACAACTTCATAGTTGCGTCGAGGTCAGTTGGCGGAACATGCCAAGGGAGCTTTTGACTTGGGTCCAGCAGTAGCTTGATCCCGACAATGTGGTCTTCTGCGCTTTTGAGGAGGGTTCCCCATTCGTATTTACCCCAATCGTTCTTGTCGTACTTGACAATCGTTGGCACCTTTGCCGCTTGCACGTGAGTCCCTAGCAATCATTCAGTGCACATTCAATAATAAAGTCTGGCAACATACCGGGCCATTTCCTGATGGCTGTCAGTTTTCCGTCCGGCGGCAAGTCTGGAAAGCAATATGCGATGCCAGAATAAGTTGTTCCGAAATCGATGGCGACGACGAGACGTTTTGCGTCCCTGTTCACATTCAACTGAGCCAATGCGCGATTGACTGTTGCAACGGATGAATCGCCCATTTTGCTTTCTTGTCTTGTCAATATTGTGTCCAGTCTCTTTGATAACGCAGCCAACGTCACATCAGACTACAAGCACGCTATAGCAGACTGCTTGTTACTTGCAACATTAAGGAATGCCAGCCTTCATGCAAACGCAGCGCGTACGGAAAACAAGCCAGCCTTACCCCTCTTTTTGCCAATACTCCCTCGGAGAAAAAGGGGCTCATATTGCGCCTTCAATTGATACAGCCCTCCTCATTTCTAAATGCATATACACGTGATCATGCACCTTGGCTCGTGAGGCTGGCGGTTAACATGCAGGGGAGTGGGTGTGTGTCAAATGTCGGCCATCTTTCTCCTTCATTTCTTGACGTACATACACATCATCTTGGATCTGAGCAAAATGGTCTTTCAGCGACTACTCAGTGCAGTAGCTGGAGCTTCCAGCGCTACGACGCGTGATACTCAAGAGAGATGTAGCTCGACCACAAGAGCTGTGCCTCGACCTCGTCGCCCTGCCATACACAACGACGAGGAAGTGCAGGAGCCACGCAGAAAAACTGTACCCCGCACACCTCAAAATGTATTGATACATCAACTGCAAAGTGCATTCACAGACATTGGAGAGAAGGACATTGCATTGCAGCTCAGGAACCTACCGCCATCTGCGCAGAAAACTCTCGCCGAGACTATTCAAGCTTTTGTAAGTAGGTTAATAAAGACACACAGTGAAGTCCTGCTGAGCAAATTTGCAGTTACCTAAGGTGATCCAAAACGATGGCAGCAAGGCAAAATTGCAAAATCTCAGTGACGCGTCGTTGCCAGAACAGAGTAGGGATGGTCCGGAGAATGTAAGCATTGCAAGAGAGTCAGCTTGGAATGCCTAGTGCGGTGGTGGCTAAACTTTTGCTAGCTGAAAAGGAGTCACATGGAAGAACAGGCCAAACTGAAGGCTGAAATCGATGCTTTGCACCGGACCAATGCGAAGCTTCAATCACAACTGGACCTGGCAAACGCGCGAGTTCAGTCTGTACTACAACGAGAGAACACGATACTTGGCAACATGATCCCCACAGACGAAGGGCCAGCAGAAGGAAGTCTGAGGGAATGTTTTGCACGTCTGCGCAAACAGATTCAAGTTCTAGGCAACAGTCCCGTGTATGCCTCGAGCGGAAAGTCTACTTGTCCTTATGTGCCGAGATCCTCCCGCGAAGCTGAGCTATTCTTTGACTGGTCCGCTGCTGGTAGGTCTAAAGATAGGCGCTTACTGCTGAGGATGTTGATGTTTGAATTCCTTCGAAAACATGTCTTAGATTACAGCATGTTTGGGGTGTTTACTATTGCTGCAGCTTCTGGCGGGGAACAGCGCGACTTTCAGATTCTGGAGAGAGCGTTGGGTCGACTCGAAGAAGCCTTTGAGACTCGCAAAAGTAAGTCCTGAAGAAGAACTTGTAAGATATAACAACCTGACAAAAGTTTTGAAAAGTTGCCAAGCGCGATATCGCAAACTGGAGGACAGCGACGGTGAGATGCGTGCAGTCCTGTCAGAAAGACGACGATTTCAGCGATGCATTGGCCAGCAAAATGTACACTTTTTTTGAGCGCTTTGTCGAAGAAGATGTGGAAACCATAGAGATTTACAAGCTCAAAGAGCGCTTCTCGCAGCTTTGTCGGGACGCTGTCAGTGTCAGGCTGCAAATGCGTGGCTCGGAAGACTACTATCGCTGTGTGACATTGGAAAGGGGCCTTCCTTTGTCGGGCAACGAAGACATTGCCGACCCGTACGCCGTGTATAACGGCGACGACAACGAAAATGCTTCGCAAATTTCGTTTACAGTTTTTGGAGCTTTGGTCATGTATCCCAAGCTTGAACCTGACAGGGAGGTCATCCTTGAGCAAGCAATCGTGGCAATGGCTAGTGAAAATGCCTGATTCAGCTCATGTGACCAGAGAATACTATATTTTAATATGTACAGTCTAGGATCCTGCATTAGCAAACCTCTTGCAAAAATTGATCACAATTGACACGGACCCTGCACCGACTTGTCTATGGTGCTCTCGGGAGACGGCCCTCGAGCTGGTGGATCGGGGCGATTGGGCCCGACAAAAAAACGTACAGCACCCGGAGTTCGCTGGTCGTCACCGACCCAGCTACTACTCAGGCGCTCGAGTGGTTATCGCTCGGAGATCAGACGGGATCCAGATTTGGCACTCGGCTATGGCCGTACATGTTGTGAGGCTGCCGTATGATTAGCTATGAAGGGAACTCTGAGGTACGCGGCACATGGGTATAGAAAGGCTGGGGAGTCGAGGAGATTACAGAAAACCCAGGGACAGCAGCCCGAATAAGAAATCAAGAACTTACTTCTTGTTGTATTCGGCATTTCGCAGTAAAGCTGGGGTGGGTGGGAATTGGGGGGGGGGGGGGTCACGCGGCCATGATCAGTACTGTGTTGGCAATGATGGAGTATGTATCGGTGTAGTTGCGTTGTTAACAGGCTGGCCCCTGCAGAAAATGTGAGATTCGCTCGATATAATGTTCCTCGGCTTATCCGTGTAAGTCTGTTTACTCCCATATATGCACATTGCACAACACAAATTTTTGCACCTGCTTTCTTGTATTTACCACATGCCAGCCTCAGCCCTCACTCGGCCGGAAACGAGATGCCGGAGCCACGCCTCGGCTGAGCGCCGCTAATTCAGAAAGGGTCCTATTTCGCGAGGTTCCTGGCGGCTTCAGAGGCTTTAGCGGGCTTTAGCGGGGTTTACAGCGGAATTCTGTGGATCCTGCCGCCGGGCCTGGCGTCGGGGCAGCTATTACCATGAAAACGGAAGTGGGATTTGATGATGGCTCTAGCATTTTCGACGCTTGTATGATTATTCTTTTTTTTTTTGATTGAAGTGAAG